TATAGAGAGAATGTGTTTGTGACACAAAAGCAGGGTGATACTTCTATTACGCTTGAAAGTTTCAAGTTTTTTAAAAATATACTTTTATTTATTTCAGAAAAGAAGGGAGAGGGAGAGGGAGGTGGAAACATCAATAATGAGAGAGAATCATGCCTCCTGCATGCCCCACACTGGGGATTGAGCCAGCAACCGGGCATGTGCCTTGACTGGGAATTGAACCGTGACCTCCTGGCTCATAGGTTGACGCTCAACCACTGAGCCATACTAGTCTGGCTCTTCTTGTACATCTTCAATGTACACAATGGAGTTGAGATTATTCCCTCAATAGAATTTCACAAACATTTTCTATATGAGTAAAATTTTATAAGCATTATTTGTAATGGCTGCATGATATTCCATATTCTGCAAATAGCATGATTTATTTAAACATTGCCCTATGGGGATATAGGTTAATCACTATAAAACATGTTACAACAAAGTTAATGCTATAAAATCCCCACCTAGGATGAATTCTTTTTTTTAAAATAAATCTTTATTGTTCAGATTATTACATAGGATGAATTCTTAGGCAGACTAAAGCTTTATCTGTTTAGGCAATAAATGAGGTTGCCAGTTAGTAATACAATGTCCAGTCCTCTTCAGCTAAGGAACATTTTTTTTAAGAGAAGAGGAATATTGTTTCTAAGGCACAATTACTTTGGGTAAGTAAGTGGTGTTATAGGTGTAGTCACATGCATTGAAAGAATTGATCTAGTTTCCTGAGAGAAAATCAAAGCAATATTAGAATTAGTTTTTTTCCTTTGTCAGTATTAGAGGCATACATCTGCCTCTTTCTCTCTCTTTTCTTCCTAATATTCTAACTTTCTTCCTCACTTTCTAACTTATTTTCTTCCTTTCCTCTCTCCTTATTTCCCTCCCCCCATCTTTCCTTCTTCCTCTTTCTCATCTGTGTGTTTCAGTGTTATGGATTCTTTCTGGAATGAATCTAGTTCAGTTGGGCCTGGTTGACAATTCTCCAGCTCCCTTCTTACTAAGCATCTATCCATAGTAACAATAAAAACACGCTGTCCATGAAGGCGCTGACAGGACTGGAACTGGCTCAGATGGGAAAGCATATCCGAATGCACTTCTTAAATGACGCTGCAATAATGAGAACTGTGACTTACAAGCAAAACCCGGGTGCCTTGTGCACACAAAAGACCTGTTCCTTGTGGCAGGAAAGAACTAATTGGATCAAACTAAACATAACCAAAATATTTTCTTAACAATATTCTTTTAAAGCCATTTTCATGAGTCACTCAGTTATTTTTTTAAAATTTTTGATGATTTTATAAAATCCTTTTAAATATGGCATTCTCAGCATGGTTCTTCAGTTTAAAGAAGTGTTACTGTCATAATACAATTGTAATTCTCAGATGCTTTATTTTCTGCTTAATGATATATGTGCATATCATGTGACTGAGCGTAGATCATATGAATATATTACAGTTTAAAACTCAGAATTTAAATTTCATGGACCATACTAAAATTCAATAAAGCAACATTTGAATGCAAGGGGGAAAGAGCAACATGTGGCTTGAATTTTCCTTAAAATACACAGGGGATTGTTAAGGGGGAAAGTGCTTGGGACAGAGTAGGTCTGGAGTTTTGCCAAACTCATACCATTCAAACAATGGTTTAAGACTGAATTCAAATCCCAAGCAGATCTCTTCAATCTCCCCCAAAGGGTATAAGGTAGCATTTCAGCTTTGAAAGATATAGTTAATGAAAATACTTTCAATGAGCAGAATGAGAATGCTGGACATGAAGAAACTGTTTTGCCCTCTGGAATTCAAGGACTTCCTACCTCCATTTGCATCCTCACTCTGCCTTTTCACCTACAAAGAGATGATCACTGGCTTTTGAAACCATTTTTTAAAAAAAATTTCCCAGTTTCAATACAAACTCTACCCTGCCCCCACTCCCCCATACAGAATCCCATGCACACAGTCTGATGAACACCAGTACCATTTAAAACCCCCGACACATCATCCAAATCCTGAGCATGCTTCCAAAATATCTGTGTGCACATTTCACAGTCAGGTACAGTGAAGAATGAAAATTGTTATCCAATGGAGGAGCTGAATCCCACCACAACTTATAATGATCTCTATAATTTTGTGCATATCAGAAGTGGCAATTTTGTTGGTGCATGGGATTTCAGGGGATTTAGTGGCTTTGGTGATCCATGTTTCTTCTCCTAAGGCATTCTGCTTCCACACTCTTCTGGAGTATGTCTATAGTAGTGCCAAGCAGGCAAATGTCACCTTTGAGTCCCAGGAGAGGTGTCGATCAGCCTTCCAAACACTGCAATGCAAAGATGCTTTGGAGTTCAGCGGTGCCACTTGCAGCTAACTGGCTCTGATTCCTATGGATGTAAACAGCCCTCCTCCCTGGCTGGACTGATGCCAGTCTACTTAAGGAGATAATTGACCACAAGCCAGCCTGACTGACAGGCTTCCTGAGTGCCAGATGCCAACTGTCCTGGCCCTGGCCTTTGCAGGAGGGCCTGTTCTCCTAGGGACCACAGCTAAAATAGCTCTGCCCTCCCTCTGCCTTTAGCTCTTGTCTCAGCTTCCCAAGGAAATATAATCAAATAGATTATTCCAAGTTGTTTTTCTTCTACTTTTCTTTTAAGGACATCTACACTAAAACCCTTCTCCCTCCTCCTGGCTTCTCCCCGTCTTTCTCGGGGTTCTGTGCCTTCAGTGAAGTGGGATCCAGGCTAAGCAACTAGTAAATAGCTTTTTCTTTCAATCTGGAAACCAGCAGCGTAATGCCATGGTATCGCCACCAGTACTTAGCATACCCTGAGTGATTTTATTAAGCTTGTGAACTGAGGTGGTCAAACATACATAAGTGTCTTTACTTCCATCTCCCTTAGGTCTAGAACTTAATTTCCCTCTACCTCCACCTGTAGCTAGAGAGAGAATACCTGTGAGATCCTATGTGATCACATTCTCAGTTGAGAGGGTTACCAAAATATCACCATCAGTTTATTCTTATTAGCTTTAGCCGTTCTCTACATACTTAGATTATTACCAGAACTATACATGTTTAATGGTTCGATCCCTCTTTAAACATTTACAATACGTGCTGATTCTGGCTCAGGGTCTGTGAGTGAGTGTTTTTTGGCACGTGGATATGAAGATCTGATTCTGGTGGAGTAGTGAGCCGGGACCTGGGGACTTCCCAGTCCTGGCATCTCAGAGGTTTGTCCAGACTAATCCTGCCAACTCCCAGCTTGGCCATGGGTGCTTGTGGGAATGATACTCTTACAGTTAGACTGCAGACCCCCTGTTAGTTGAGGGGAGGGGTCTTCAAGGCTTTAACTGGAACCTCTCTTGGGATCAGAGCTTTAACAGAAAGCCTCCCCCTACCCCGTGTTTATTTACATGAATCCCGTGCTCTCCAGTCTGAATGCCATGCTTAGCTTCCTTTGAGTACCGGGGTCTCCCCCTGGAAGAAAACTTGAGTGGAATTATTTCTAAGCTCATGTTGCCCTCTAGTCTCCTTTCTCTCCTCCCTTACAGTAAAAGCAAAACAACCATGTTTTCCTCACAGAGGTAGAAGGGGTGCCACGGGCATGTGCGGGTGTGGGGCTGGGTGCTAAGAGAGTTCAGGGAAACAGCCAGGGTCAATTATTCATCCTTCTCTGAGGCGCGGCCCACAGGCTCCCTCCCCCCTCTTCAGGAGGGGCGGTCACTTAGGCCAGACCCCCACCTCCAGTTCACCCCCAAACATCACGTGGGGCCTCACCCCTTTCCGGTGGAACCATGGGCGTCGCTATAAAGTTCACTGGCCCTTGCAGGCAGGTGCGGGGGAAGGAAGGGTGCTCTTTGGAAGAAACTCCTGGAATTCAGGACTCTCAGCCTCTAAACTATGGGTCCCTCCCTGCCCGGGGCTTCCAGGCACCAACTCACCCAGAGACAGACAAAGAAGCCAGATTCCCCAAGTCTCCCCAAGTCTGTGACCCCCATGTCAGCGTCTCCCCTTTTTGTTTTTGTCTTTCAATAATATCAAATTAGTGTAGAGGAAAACCTAGCAGAGTCTCAAACTGACAGAATGGAGGCACTGGAATTGTCCGAGCCCAAGGAGGCCGTGGTCTGCACCAAGACACGCGTTTCCCAGGCCTGGCCAGAACCTGGTCTCGCTGCAACGGTGGTAGTAAATCAGGGATGCGTGGAAACCCTCCCCTCCCCCTCCCAGTGTCATTACCGTGCACAAGTCTTGTTGGCCCTTTGCTTTCTTCTGAGGAAAGGTTAGAGGAGGCTTCCATGGGGCTGGCTGGGCCGAGGGAAGCTGGTTCAGGTTGGAGCCCTGTTCGTGGGTGAAGGGCAGAGGCCTGGCGGCGACTCCCTGGCCCCAG